CCCGCGGGCATATGGAGTCATATGTTCTCCGTAGCAGAACCCGGGGCTGGCACCTGGCCACCTCTCCACCACCGAGCCAGGCAACTTCCATTCCTGTGATGGCGGCTGGAGCTTGGAGCCCGGACACCTGGCTCTGTGGGCTGGGACTCTGTGGTGGTTTTCCTAAGTGTTAATGTTCATCAGTAACCCCTTTCCTGAACCGGGGTGGTGGTGCAACACCTGTAATCAATCGCAGCTCTCGGGAGGTTGAGGCAGGAGGACTGCCGTGAGTTCTAGGCCAACCGAGGTTACATAGTGAGTTCCTGGCTATCCTGGGCTGCATAGAAAAACTGTCTTTGAAAAAAAAAAATCCACGAAAGCCTCTTTTCCATCCTTCAGGAGGCCTCCCTTGCACCCAGTACTTGACTCAGAATTTAGATAGACCCGGACTTAAGAAACTACCAGGCCCAGTCAGTCAGTCTGTCTGTCTGTCTGTCTGTCTCCCCCCACCTGTAACTTATAGATCTGATATGAGCTCTCAGCTTCCACTCTAGCCCCGTGCCTGCCTGCCGACCACCACGCCCCCCACCCCAACCCCGCCATGATGTTCATGGGTTCACCCTCTGAAACCGCAAAGGAGCCCTCCACTCGATTGTCTTTCATTTTGCCTTGGTCAGAGGTGTCTGATCAACAATTACCTAAGACGCTTCCTTAGCAGCGGCGAACCACCCTCCCTGTATCACCAGTTCTGTTCCCTAAAACCCCCAGAGAAACTTCTGGGAAGACAAAAAAAAAAACCGAGGACATGCATTCAGTAATCGTGGGACAGGAGGGTCTTTCCAAACCAGCCACGAAGAACTTCTGTTTCCCTACAGGGGCCTTCCTCACCCTGCGACCCTGAGGTTTCTGAGGTGGTCTTCAGAACTCCGCCGTGCTCCCACACAGAGGCGACACCCATGTCTTGGTCCCTGGGCTTGGGGTTGCCTGGGACCTATCAGAGGACAGAGCAGGGCAGAGCCTGGCTTCAAGGATGGCTCCTGGTGGACAGTGGGCTGTGTGACACCGCCACCTTGTGGGGAAACGCTGACTAGCTAGGCCAAGGAGGCCCTCGGTCTTCAGGAGAGCCGCCTGCAGCCTGCAGCGCCCCCTGCTGGTCCAGTCCGAGACCAGCAGCCCATGGCACCCCTTGTCTGTCCAGCTCCAGGGGCCGCTCAGCACAGGATGTGGTGGCCGAAGACCTGTTAGGCTTGAAAACAAACTTGTTCCTTTCCCTCGGCCTCTCTAGACGACAAATTAAAATTCCCAAGTGAGAAGACATGTCATTTTATTCCCCGATTTCTTTTTTAATCTTATTTTATGGATGAGTGTTTTGTCTCCATGTGTGACTGCTACCCAAGCAAGTCAGAAGAGGGTATCAGAGCCCCTGGGTCTGGAGTGATGGACAGTTGTGAGCCTCCATGTGGCGGTTAAGAACTGAAAGTGTTTTTAACTGCCGAGCCATCGCTCCAGCCCCTATCACCTGATTCAAGGCTCACTGTAAAGCTGTGTGGCGTGGGTAGGAGGAGAGGCACCCAGGAAACTGAGGACCTCCTCACCTATAGGCAACTGGTTTTCAATTTGGTAGAGAAAAAGTTGCCTTCAATGCACTGTGCTCAAAGCATCGGGCTACCCTATGTAAAAAGTAAATATGGAAAATAAGATTTGTTCACTCACACTGGGCTCCTCCTACAAAATTACCTTGAAATGGATGACAGACAAAGGCAAAACCAGAAACAACAAAACATCTCAGAAGCAACCCAGATGATCTTCACAGCTCAAGTGTGGGAAAGATTTGTGGCAGAGCACACAGAATCCCAACTTGTAAAAGAAAAAGAATCCTAGCCAGGCAGTGGTGGCGCACGCCTTTAATCCCAGCACTCAGGAGGCAGAGCCAGGCAGATCTCTGTGAGTTCGAGGCCAGCCTGGTCTACAGAGTTAGATTCAGGACAGGCACCAAAGCTACACAGAGAAACCTTGTGTCGAAAAACCGAGAGAGGGAGAGAGAGAGAGAGAGAGAGAGAGAGAGAGAGAGAGAGAGAGAGAGAGAGAGAATGAATATCCTGGTGCAAGTTGGTTTTAAAAAGAAACTATCTTATCATAAAGGACCAGCCTGACTGATTCAGGGCATGTGATTCATGTCTGTGGCTGCACCTCTTGTCTGTTTAAGGACTGGGGTCACCCCAGGCACATGCTGTCAGCTCAGCAGTGCTAAAACCAAGAAGCAATCTATCTGTTCGGTCATTACCTCTTTTTCATTTTTGTGCATTTTTTTACGTGTGCATGTGTGCGTGCGTGCGTGCATGTGTGTGCGTGTGCGTGTGCGTGTGCGTGTGCGTGTGTGTGTGTGTGTGTGTGTGTGTGCATGCCATAGGTCTTGTGTCGAGGTCAGAGGTCAGTTTATGGGAGCTGCCTCTCTTCTAGTATGTGGGTCCTGGGAACAGAACCGTCTGCATCACCAGCCCCACAGAGGACTCAAGCCCAGGCAGCCCCAGCCGCGCCTGAATTCTGTCTGTACTTCTCTCCCACATGGCTCCTCTTAGTTTCTTCCCTTAATCCCTCCTTCCTGTCCCCACTAAACTCACAGGGAATGGTAAGCAGGCCTGTGGATGCCTTCCTCCTCTTGCAGACACCGGCAACAGCCTGGGGATATTCCAAACATCTTTGTATAGACCAGCAAAACTAGGTGGCTGTCCAGCCGCAGGGGATCGAATCGGTAACTCACATGGCATCTACATACTGGAGACGAGAAGGGCTGCCCTAGCGGCCCCAGAGAGAACAATCTGGAAGATCTATTGTCACACAAGAAAACACCATTTTGCCGGGCGGTGGTGGCTCACGCCTTTAATCCCAGCACTTGGGAGGCAGAGCCAGGCGGATCTCTGTGAGTTCGAGGCCAGCCTGGTCTACAGAGCGAGATCCAGGAAAGGCGCAAAGCTACACAGAGGAACCCTGTCTCGAAAAACAAAACAAAACAAAAAAAAAAAAAAAAAAAAAAAAACACCATTTAAATGACCCCTCTGTGGTCTGCAGACCGTGACCTTAACTGTTCTGGCTCTATAGCCCAAACTAACTCTCTGACTCAAGACCATCCTCCTGCCTCAGCCTCCTGAGTGCTAGGATTACAGTGTTATGTCCTCAGCGTTCTGACAACCTTCCCTTTGACTGAAGGACATCTGGGAACCTCTCACACGGCAATCATGGCCGGCACTGGGCTGGACTGGGACGGGCCATCCTGAAGCTGTCAGCACAGGGCAACTCTGGTGAGCAGGGCTCTTCGTGTTTACTTCACCCACGTCTCATCTTTTGTTTTTGGAAATACCATTTCTAATTGATCCATGTGTGCTGGGTGTTTATAACAAGCTAATATTATCTCTTTGAAAAAAATTAATATAGAAAGCTATGGACGGGCGGCGGTGGCGCACAACCTTTAATCCCAGCACTCAGGAGGCAGAGCCAGGCGGATCTCTGTGAGTTCGAAGTCAGCCTGGGCTACAGAGCGAGTTCCAGGACAGGCACCAAAACTACACAGAGAAACCCTGTCTCGGAAAACAAAACAAAACAACAACAACAACAACAAAATCTATGGGTGCCCAGTGTAGAAAAAAGTCATACAGAAAGAAGAAAATTAAAATCACCCCCCAGGCTAGCGCTGCAGACTCCAAGGGGCCACTCTGAGAACCAGAGACTCAGTACCAAGGATGTATGAGCCCAACAGTCAGGGGGCTGAGGCAGAAGGGCTGTGAGTTCAAGGCCAGCCTGGGCAACACAGGGAGGTTATATCTCAAAAAAAATTAACAAGGGGGTGAGAGGAATGACTGACTTCTCTCCCAGAGAACCTGAGTTCAATTCCCAGCACCCACATGGTGGCTCACAACCATCTGTAATGAGATCTGGTGCCCTCTTCTGGCTTGCAGGGACACATGAAGGCAGAACACTGTGTACATAACAAAAATCTCTCTCCAAAAAAAAAAAAAAATGAAAACAAATAAACCATGTCCTGGGGGTTCCCTGAAGTCCCAAAGGCTTACTGTAGTGACACCAGGCCTCTCAGCTTTGATAGTGAGCAGCCCTCCTTGCCAACATTTACATCCCAGGAAATAATAAGAGGGTACGTAGCATCTGCAAGGCCCTGGCTTCCATTCCCGGGACCCTAAACACAAGGACGCAACAGACGTCACATAAGAAGTCCCCATGCTGCTGGGACGCAGGACACTCCCTAACACCTGAGCTGTGTGACAGCCACAGAGTGGGTCCTCCAGACCCCCAGGACAGGACAGCTCAGCATTGATTGACATGGAGTGACTGTCTTCTCAGGTTACCGGGGAAGAAATGGTTAGAGGAAAAACGTGGTTACACCGGGTGGTACACTCAGTTCTGTAAAAAGGAAGAAAGATAGTCTCTCATTTCTGTAAACCAAGAAAAGAAGGAAAGGAGAAAGGAGAGGATGGATGGATGGATGGATGGATGGATGGATGGATGGATGGATGGATGAATGGATGGATGGGTGGATGGGTGGATGGGTGGATGGGTGGATGGGTGGGTGGGTGGGTGGGTGGATGGGAGGGTGGATGGATAGATGGATGATGGATGGGTGGGTAGATGGGAGGGTGGATGGATGAATGCATGATGGATGGGAGGATGGATGGATGGATGGATGGATGGATGGAGGGTTAGGTGGATGGGAGGATGGATGGATGGGTGGGTGGATGGATGGATGGATGGATGGGTGGGTAGATGGATGGACGGATGGATGCATCAACAAGTAGATGATTTTCCTTGTGGAGACTCAGATCCATTCTCCCACCCCAGGCTGTGGGGACAGACCCGACAGAGACCGACATTCCTCCCTCTACCAGCCCCGCAGCAGCGCAGAGAAGTGCAGTGCTTCCCCCTGCCGGCCAGCTGCGGAACTGCCTCTCGACACGGCCAGGACAGGGAGCCTTTCCCGGATTGGAGGAGGCAGAGCCCGCAATCTGCAGTACCTGGGTTGGGGCAGATGTGCCTTTCAAGAAGGTAGATCTTGCCTTGAGAAACATCAGCTGGCATTCAAGTCCAGCTCCCCAGGGATCTTTCTGGAAATTCTCCGAGTTCCCATAGATCTTTCAAGCTTTATATTTAAGCATGTTGTTCCAGCAACAGGCTTGCTGTCTGTTGCTGTGATAAACACCACGACCAAAAGGTAACGCGGAGAGAAAAAGACGTATTGTGCCTTATGGGTTACAGTCCGTCATCTCTGGAAGCCAAGCCCAGCAGGAAGCTGCGCAATAAAAGCTGCACACTGACTCGCACTCAAGGGCATGCTCAGGTAGCTTTCTTATATAACCCAGGACCACCTGCTCTGGAGTGGCACCGCCCACAGTAGGTCCCTCTCCCCACCAATCAGCAATCAAGAAAATACCTCACAGATGTGCCCACAGGCCAATCCAACGGGGGCAATTCTTCTCCTGAGAGCGCCTCTTCCCACGTGTATCAGGTTGACAACCAGGATTACCCTTCATACAAGTCTACTGCATCCAAACCTCCCCCCCAAAATCAGAATTTCCAGCCCAGTTTTTTTTTTTTTTACTACCTTTTGTTTTTTTCTCTAATGATGGATACAAAAATATACCTAGGGCGCTGGTGGCACACGCCTTTAATCCCAGCACTCGGGAGGCAGAGGCAGGCGGATCTCTGTGAGTTCGAGGCCAGCCTGGTCTCCAAAGCGAGTTCCAGGAAAGGCGTAAAGCTACACAGAGAAGCCCTGTCTCAAAAAACCGATAGATAGATAGATAGATAGATAGATAGATAGATAGATAGATAGATAGATATACCTAAAACCAAAGGTTCTAGAAGGACCTCTTGCTCTGGCCTGTCTCGTATAGCACCCCAAACTTGACCGTGGCCCTCCCACCTGGCCTTGTGTCTCAGAGTTGGGTCCCTAATGCCATCCTTGTTGACAACAGTTTTGTCCAAGGGGATGTCCACAGAGCACCCGGTGGGCATGAGGTGATTGTAGTCATACACATTCACAGAGGACTTGGTCTTTGACCTCTTGGCAATTTTTCTCTTTGCCTGTGGCAGCTGTGACTTTTCAAGGATGGCGGTTGATCCCGGCCACCAGAACACAACCACAAGGATGGTCTGAGGTCATCAATTGGCAATCAAGTGCCAATCATCGATATTCTTCACGATGACGGCTTTGCACCCCAAGGGGCGTCCAGCCAGGGCCCGCAGCACTTTCCCTGGCTTCATGAACTTGCCCATTTCGACAGCAAGCAGCAAGCAGCAGGCGCCCAGCGGGAGGAAGGAAGCCCACTTCCGCTCTTACCCATCCCTCTAAGTGTGAAGGCAGTACAGACCCCATCTTTGGGGAGGGCCACCATCTCAGACCACCTGCTGTACTCAGTTCCAGGAAGGACAACTCGAACAGACACAGAGCAGTATCCATCTGCAGACATCCTGTCTGTGGTTTACGGCCCCTGAAGATATCTAGCTCAGTCCAAATAATCCTAGTCAGCAGGTTGTGGTTCCCTGCCAAAAGTCTAACCCAATGGTTCCAAATGTAGTTTTGCGCCCAAAGTCTAGACCAATAGTTTCAAAAAATCACCTTGCCCCATATCCCTTCTACAATCCCAAGTTGTCAATTCCTGGCTTGTGGTTTTTCCCTACAAAAACCCTCTACACCTGGGCTCGTGGCCACCACCACATTTCCTTCTATCTGCCGTGAGGTGGCCCAGGTTGAACCTGAATAAAAGGATCCTTATGTGCTTGCATTGGAAACCGGCTCCTTGGAGGTCTCTGGGGATTTTGAGAAACGGGTACAACATGGAAAAAAGTATATCTCTTACTTTTACTCTTACCCCATGGCTGGCCCCTGGCATTCTCCTCTCCTTGCTCTCTTGCTCCTTCTCTTTCTCCCAGATTTCTCCTTCTATTCATTCTCTCTGCCTGGCAGCCCCGCCTACCCTTTCTCCTACCTCGATATTGGCCATTCAGTTCTTTATTAGACCAATCAGGTGCTGTAGACAGGCAAAGCAACACAGCTTCGCAGAGTTAAACAAATGCAACATAAAAGAAGGCAACACATCTTTGCATCATTAAACAAATGATCCACAGCATAAACAAATGTAACACACCTTAAACTAATAGTCTATCACATAGGACCAACAACCTTAGTGCAGGAGTTACCTCTTTAGTCCTCTGTCCCTCACAAGTTAGCTATTTCTATCCACTTTTCCCCTGGGAGGCAAAATAGCTTTGACTGTCCTTTTGCCCCAATGAGAAAACTCATTTCTATGGGACCAGTCTTGATGACCACCAACTGCGTGCTGGGGAGCAAGAACCTGAATGATGGAAGGTTCCTTACTCTATAGTCCCGGAAAACTAGAGAAAGATAACATTACCAGAGACCATTATTCAGTCACTCAACAAACACTCATGGAACTCTGGGTGCCGGTTGCTGGAGGTAAGTCTGGTCCCTCTTCCAAACAGGGTGACTCCAGAGGACTGCCATCCACAAGAGAGTTGGACATTTGTCATATGATTAGCCAGGACAAAATGGAATGTAGCCAACATTGTTCTGTGTCCCAAGAGGGCAGCCATACACGAGTGATGACTTTTGTCAAAGGTCCCTGACTGGTTCTTACTCTAGAGGATGGCAGATAATGGCTGTGTGTCATCCAGGAGACAGCGGAAGGGTGACTGTGCCCCCACAAGAGACCACCTCATGCTTACCACCATTCCAGCCACTCAATCCTCTCTCTCTCTCTCTGGGGATGGTTGGCAGCATCTGGGGACATTTTGGTCGTGGCCATGTGGCAAAGGGAAACGGCTCCTGGAAGCAGTAAGTGGGGACCACAAAAAGTGGTTCCTCATCCCACCAGAGCCAGGAAGCACTGTCCCTGCGTGACCACAGAGCTGAGGCCACCAGCCTGCGTTCCCCGGGCTCCAAGGCCCACAGAGTGTTGGCTGAAGACCCGTTGAAAGGCCCTTCACCCCATGACCTCAGGTCGCATGACTGAGGAGCAGAGCATGGCCTTTATATAGATCAGAGGCCTCGGAAACCCGCCGTTCTGTCGTGGTTCCAAGTTCCTCAGTGAAGGGGCTGTAGGCAGGTCAGGCCACAGCTGTCGCTGGCATCCGGGTCTCACACGGAGGACAATGCCCTGGAATGCCAGGCACGCCGCCGGGACAGCCGCCCGAGGAGATCTGAAGGGCACTGTTAAAAGAGGACCTCCTGAGATTTCGTTCCTATCCGGCCGGTCAGCCCAGGCTGAAGACACAATGGGATAAAAAGCCACCAACAGTGTCTGGCTCGCAGTGGGACCTTGCTTCCAGAGTGGGGGGACAGTGGGGACAGCTGGATCCCAGGCCACAGGGAAGTGCACAGATTGAAACCTCAGCAACCCGGGCCAAATCCAGTGTTGCCCAAGGCAGAGGCTCTGGCTGTGAGGCCGACAGAAAGGATCCTCTCGTACCCTCAGTTTTATTCATCTGAAAAATGGACCCGATATGAACACCTGCCTTAGGGTGTGGATTGGGGTAAAGTAGGCAGGGAGGAGTCTGGGAAGTGCCTGGCATGCTGGGAGAGGTGGGCAAGCTGGTGACAAGCACTTGTGGTCACTGGGACCTCAGTGCAGGAAGGTCACCGTCCAGAGGCTGGGGATGCCACAGCGTGAAGCCCTCGTCCTGGCCTGAGGACCCAGCACAAGCCATACCGTCTCTTCTAGGGCCTAGGGCACGTCCATTTGAACTCAGCCGGCTCGGAGCATCCGCCTTCAAGAGTGGAGTGTCTGCGACCTGGTGTGGGGAGTGGAGCCAGGAAGACAGAAGAGAATAATCTCAATTTCTCTCTATCCCCACCCCTACCGCCGTGTGTGTGTGTGTGTGTGTGTGTGTGTGTGTGTGTGTGTCTGTCTGTCTGTCTGTCTGTCTGTCACCAGATGGTATTGCCCATCATCATTTAACAACAACGGTGTTCTAAGACGAGCGCTACCTGCTTATTCATAGGGTGAAGATGCCAAGGTTTGGTCTGGTGAAGTCTTCTGTCCAAGGTCCCCCCCCCCCATTCCCCCGGAAAGCTGATCTGGAACCCCAGCATCCAATGACTGGAGTTCTCTAGGAGGTCAAAGTCAATCGCTAAGCAATTTTAACTGTCAGGCAAGGAGGGGAGAGTGCTCGAGGGTGGGACGTGGAGGAAAGAATTGGAATAGTGTGTGACGTGTGGGGGGAAGGGTGGTGAGGGAGCGGAGACCCCAAAGTAATTGGGAGCCACTCCCACGGGTAAGATCTAGGGCAGGATTAGAGGGCGCTGTGTTCACAAGGCATCACAGGGGCAGACTAGACAAACATTTTGTCAAGATGGCCGTGGGGGGAACGGGAGCAGGGCTTTGAGTCTGGGAATCCAGGGAGTGGGAGAGTTAGAAATGAAAAAAAAAAAGAGTTGGGAGACAGAGAGGCATAAGAAGGACTTCACACTGCGGTGCTTCTGAGTTCACCCAGTGTAAGAGCCGACTTGCCTGAACACCGCTGTGCCCAGGAGCGTTCTAGAATGGTGAAGGCAGTTCTGTGTGCCCACCTTCGAGGGGGAAACTGAAATACAGAGCCAGGGGGCCTGGCAGAGCAGTACCCAGTGCCCAGCGGCGCCCAGCGGCCCCCAGCAGGGGGCTAATCTACCTCCCTTTATTCCCGCCACCTCCCCCCGCCCCCCAGCTAGTTGGAATGGCTGCTTCCCCAGGGGTAACTGTCACCTTCAGAGTCTTGACAGGAGGAGATAAGCTATCCTTGGTGACAGCAGCCATCAGCCACAGCTCTAGGCTGGCAGGGCCTGCCTTCTACAAAGCTCAGACTCCATCACCCTCCTTTTTTTTCGAGACAGGGTTTCTCTGTGTGGTTTTGGTGCCTGTCCTGGATCTCGCGCTGTAGCCCAGGCTGGCCTCGAACTCACAGGCGTGCACCACCACCGCCCACGCATTTTCTCTTTTTAAATGTATTTTAGTCTTTTTAGTTATATGTATGCATGTCTGCATGTGGATATGCCCATGAGAGTGCATTGCTCTGGGAGGCCAGAAGAGGGCAACACATCCCAATAGCTACAGTTACAGGCAGTTTTAAGCCTCCTTGCTAGGGTGCTGGGACTCAAACTCAGTTCCTCTGGAAGAGCAGTGAGTCCTAATTAACATCCAAGCCTTCTATCCAGCCCTTATTTTTTTTTTTTTTTTTGTTTATTTTTTGCCAAACCTAGGAGAACCTCCGGCCCCCATC